CCCCTGCAGGCCCTGGCGTGTGGAGCAAGGGGGTGCGTGCTCCTCCTGCACCGCCAGAGGCTTCGGGCCCCTCTGCGCAGTGAGCGCGCGCACGTGTGTGTGTGTGTGTGTGTGTGTGTGTGTGTGTGTGTGTGTGTGTATGTGTGTGAGAGAGAGAGAGAGAGAGAGATGCAGTATATTTAAGAGCATCTGAGTGAGTCACATTTCTGGGAGGCTGGCTGGCAGCAAGGGTAATTAGTATGTGAGCCGAGTCTTGCCCGTTCGTTCACATTTATTCATTGCTCCTTTTGAGACGCGCACGCCTGCATCCCACGGGTTTGTTGGGTTTGTTGCCATATATTCATCCCGTCCCAGCCAGCCCTGCCTCCGGGCTGACTTGAAACCTCTAATCTGCTATTGTTCCGCTTGCTTCCTGGAGAGCTGCCCGGCTGGCTCTCGGGGGTGGGGGACCCCAGGTGCCTAATTGAGCAGGACGGGGGCTTACCTGAAAGTGGGGGCAGATCTCGGCCGGGGTGGCGAGGTGAGAGGAGCCACGGCTGTGGGTGCTGGGCCCTGCCGTGTGTGTCCTGGTTCCTCAGGCCCTGGCGCACTCAAGCATCACACCTGCAGGCCGTGCGGAGACACAGGTGCTGGCCCACCCCCAAGAGTCTGCATTTCCAACAAGCTCCCCGGCGATACTGCCCTCGCCAGTCCAAGGACCAGACTGTTTTTTGGAGATAGGGTCTTGCCTGGGCTAGAGTGCCGTGGCGTCGTCATAGCTCACTACAACCTCCAACTCCTGGCTCAAGCGATCCTCCTGCCTCAGCCTCCCAAGAAGCTGGGACTGCAGGTGCACACCACGATGCCCTGCTAATTTTTCTATTTTTTGTCTCCATCTTGCTCAGGCTGGTCTCGAACTCCTGCCCTCAAGCAATCCTCCCACCTCAGCCTCCCAAAGGGCTGGGATTATAGGCGTTAGCCACCTCGCCAGGCCCCAAGGACCAGACTTTGACTTAAACCTCTCAGACCCGTCAGTTTTCTTCTCTATTTGTGGGAATGAGAACATGTGCCTTTCTGGGGTGTTAGGAGGTTTGGAGACCCTGTTTATCTATTCATCCATTCAGCGACTGGATCGTGAGCCCTGCCCATGTGCCGGGCAGTGGGGACTTGGTGGGGAGCAAGACAGACAAGGTGCCAGGCATGGGCAGGAGTGGGAGTGGGGAGGGGGAGGAACAGACCAAAACTGTAATAAAATAATTAAAAATTGTAGCACATGCTACAAAAGCGACAATCAAAAGTATCGGCACAGAGCCTAACGGGGGCAGGGAGAACCTAATTTAGAGAGACTGGAGACGCTCACCGAGGGACACTTCCAGAGCCCAGGCTGCAATAAGAGCCCAGAAACAATAGTACAATTGTTCCTCTCCTGGCTCCACCTCTTTCTAGCAGTGCAACCTGTGACCTTGGACAAGCCCGCTGACCTCCCTGAAACACAGTTTTATCTCCTGCAGAGTGGAGATAGTAATAGTAGTTGATTCATCGGGTTGTTACACAGATTATTCGGTGTTAAACCTAAGTGACGGGCACAAGAGTGCCTAGAACAGAGGTGGCACTGTGAGAGTTACCAGTTACTGCTGCTGTCACTGTGGCGCTACTAGAAAACCCTGCAGGGCAATTCTGAATCCCCCAGTCACTGGGGTTGCCTCGGCTTCACTCTGTGAGACAGTGTGTAAAACCACCCCCCCACCCATCCTGGACGTTGCTCTATGAGTGGGGTGGCTGTCACCGCAGGGGCGTCCTTAGCAATGATAATGACCCACTTGAAATTAGCTGGACCCCTGCTGCAGTCCCCAGCTGCCGTCAGCTGAATCTGCTTGCTCCGACGTTGGGTAGACAGGACTTCCTGGAAGGGGGCCACAAGATGTGGGAGGAATATTAGATACGTCTTTGGTGGCAAGTGACAGAAACCCAGCTCAAACTGGCTGAATCCAAAAAAAGGAAAGTCGATGGACTGCTGGAACTGTAGAGCCCAGCTCCAGCTTCAGGCATGGATGGATCCAGCTGTTCAGTGTAGTAGGACTCTGGGCCAGCTTTACTCTCAGACAGGTTCTCTCTCTGTGACGGCAGACATGTCCGACATGTCCTTCTCCGGCTTCAAACCTCCATCTTTGTAGCTCATCAACTCCAGCAGAAAGAGGAGACCTCTTTCCAGCTAGGCTGAGCAACGCTCCTATGGCTCATTCTCATGGGTCTGGCACAGATCACGTGCCTGTCCATGAACCAGCCCCTGTGGCCACAGGGCAGGATAAATGAGTGCCCTGATTCGCCAGGCCTGGGCCGCACGTCCATGCTGGAGCCGGGGCCCCAGGTAGCTCTCCAAAGGGAAATGGGGAGTTCTTTCCAGAAGTGGGAGAACCGCCGGATGCTGGACACCAAAACAACAGCTGTCCTGGGAAGAGCAGAGGGTCCCGCCCTGAGGCGCGGAAGCAGAAAGCAAGCGTGCATCCACTGCCCACTTCCCACGTTGGAGAGGGCAGCGGGAGCGCTGGGCCGCGGCCTCGGGGCTCTGCGTGGTTGCGGAAGCGCCGTCGCCATCCCTGCGTTTGCGTTCCTTGGGGTTGAGAGGGCCAAGGATGGTGGGGAAGGAGCTGGAGAAACCAAGTCCCAATTTGCAGCCAGGCCTGGAAAGAGGAGATGCCCCCGGGACAGTGAGCGGAGACGGGTCAAGAAGGCCAAGTTCTTGCCAGGGCGCAGGGGCCTGGCTGGTTTCCTGCCAGCTGCCCTGTTGCCTCTGTCCGGGAGGGATCGAACCAGGCTTTCTCAGCCTTGCCACCTCTGGCCTTCAGGGCTGGGGGACCCTCTGTTGTGGTGGCTGGTCCTGTGCACCGTAGGGTGTTTGGCACCATCCCTGGTCTCGCTCTGCCAGATGCCATTTGCACCCCACTCCTCAGTTGTGACAACCAAGAATGCCTGTGGACGTTGTGAAATGTACCCTGGGGGGACAACATTGCCCCTGGTTGAGCACCACTGGCCTAGGGGTACTTGGGAAGAGGAGTTGGGAGAGGGGTGGTGGTCAAGACTCCAGGAACGCAGTCCTACCTCTCAGCCTCCCAGCCACCTGGGGACGGATGGACGGCATTGGCTGCCGGGCCACCCAGAGAGGCTGCCGGGGCCACTGCTTGCTGAGACTTGCTGAGGAGTCTCTTAATCGAGTTGGCCATTGATGACATGTCTGAAGGACATCCACTCCCGGGCCCCTGCACCTGTCAGGGGCCGATGGCATTTTGTTCTGACACGTCCAGTTCTTAAATCTTGACTCCCAGCATGCTTCCAGGCCCCCGTGATCGGCAGTTCTGTCTAGGACGATGTTTTTCCAGAGGGTGGTACGTTGGGATATGCCCAGTGGGTATGCAGCATGGGTTACATCAACAAGCAATTTTAAAATGTCAAAAGATAAGTACTGGCCGTCGCGGTGGCTCACGCCTGTAATCCTAGCTCTCTGGGAGGCCGAGGCGGGCGGATCGCTCGAGGTCAGGAGTTCGAAACCAGCCTGAGCAAGAGCGAGACCCCGTCTCTACTATAAATAGAAAGAAATTAATTGGCCAACTAATATATATAGAAAAAATTAGCCGGGCATGGTGGCGCATGCCTGTAGTCCCAGCTACTCGGGAGGCTGAGGCAGGAGGATCACTCGAGCCCAAGAGATTAAGGTTGCTGTGAGCGAGGCTGATGCCACCGCACTCACTCTAGCCTGGGCAACAAAGTGAGACTCTGTCTCAAAAAAAAAACAAAAAAAAACAACTACTTTAATGTGTTTGGTTTTCTTTTCAGTAGACTGATTTAAAGGACTCGGTGAGTCAGATAAGCAAATGACGCGCCATTAAGCACACACAGCGGCGTGTGGATGAAGCCGAGACAGCGCGGTGGCACTCCAGCGAGCGGTGCTGCAAGGCCCACGCACGGCGCTGCACTGCGGGCTGGCTGTCAACATGTGGGCGCGTCCTGCTGGGTGCCGCGATGCTTGTTTCAGGAGCACCGCTGGCCAGATGCTCTGTCCCAAGCCTGCCTCCTCGCATCGGGCTCACAAAGGACATGAGCCCGCCAGCACCAGGCACCTCCTCCTTCCGCGGCATTAATGATTCATGCCGGTTGAAGGCCCCACGGCCAAGGCAGGGTCTGAGAGGCTCGCGGGAGCCCGTGGAGAGAGGTGGTCGATACTGCATTTACTTAAGGGAGCCCCAGGGACACTCTGGGCGTGCGGGGAGGCTGGCTGGACGCAGCGAGCTAAGGCAGTAGGTCTGGCTTGAGAGGCCCAGAAGTGAGCGCTGAGCACAGCCGGGCAGACCGCGGCTCTCTGGAAGGCCAGGCTCCCTTCCAAAGCATGGGGCTGGCGGCCGTGGGGTAGAGGACAGTCCCCGTGAACATGTTTCTCGTTCACTCGGTATTTACTAAACATCCGCTTTGCGCCAGGCACTGTGTGTGGTGCCTGAGTCTACACCGGTGGTTCTCATCCAGAAGATTCTGCTCCCCCGGGGGACATCTGGCCGTGTCTGGAGACATTCTGGGCTGTCACAGTTGGGGGAGGGGTCGTGCCACTGCATCCAGTAGGTAGAGCGCCGCCGGGACGCTGCTGAGCTCCCCACAGCGCACAGGACAGCCCCCCGCGACCAAGAACGATCCAGCCCAAGTGTCAGTCATGCCGAGCTTGAGAACGCCCGGCCTGCTGACGGCCGGGAGAGACAGTGTCCCTGCCCTGCCGCATCGTGTGGTGGAGAAAGTCCGGAAGGGAGGAGAGGAGGGACGGAAGGAGGAAACAGAGTAAACAGGCAGAAAACGACAGATGCGATTAGGGCTGAGAAAGAAGTCCCCAGAGGCTGTGGATGAGAGGGCCGGGGTGTGACCTTGGCCAAGGTCTGAGCTGATGGCATCAGAGCTGAGCCCGGCTGGGGCGAGGAGGAGGAGGAGGAGGAGGAAGAGGAGGAGGAGGAGGAGTGTGCAGGCCAAGGGAGCCCGAGGGGCAAGAGGAGACTTGGGTTAAGCCTGTCACTGCTGTGTGGAGTGCAGCTCACGGGGGGCGAGAGAGGGTCCTACAGGCATCCAGGGACAGAGAGACCAGGGGCGGGAGGAAGAGGGGGAGCCTCAAGAGGTCCGTAGGAGGGGAGCGTGGGACGTGTGACGGGGGACAAAGAGTGGAACCGAGGAAGACTTAGCTCCTTTAGGGTACGCTGTGTTGGAAATGCTGGGAGCCTTTGGAGCAGGGACACTTCTAGGAGTAGGGTGCGTGACCTTGGGTAAGGGATGCCACCTGGAGCCCCTGTTTTGTCACCTGTAACGTGGAAGTCATAACAGGACCCGCCGCACAGGGCACTGTGGGGACTGGCTGTGTCCAGTTCCTGGCCCGGAGTCAGTCGTCAGTAAGTGTCAGCTTGGAGAAGCTGCAAGCCGGCAATGCCTGCCATTTGCCCGGTGCGGCCCTGGGCCAGTGAACGTTCGGTTTTATTCCCTTATTTTTGAAGAGGCCAGACACGCACGGAGTCTCGAATTCAAAGAATGCAAAAAGGTACGGAGAGGAAGTGAGTCTCCCTCCCACTCTGTCCTGCAGCCACCGGCGACAGTGGTTCACGCCCGGCCAGGGGCGCGGCTGGGAGCCCAGGAGCCCCTGCCCCGAGTGTCCGAGGGTGCCGTGGGGGCTGGCAGGTTTGAAACGAGGCGGGTCTCCGTCAGGAAGCCAGGAGAGCGGGAGTCTCACAGTGCCCCGTTCTTTCCCCCCACCACCCGCCCCCTTGGCTTTTCCAGAATGTTCGCGGCGTCGGAGAGAAAGATGAGAACTCCCCAGGTGCTCGCCTTCCTCCTGCTCTCCGCGATCGCCTCCGTGGCCTCTGAGAACGCCAGCACGTCCCGGGGCTGCGGGCTGGACCTCCTCCCTCAGTACGTGTCCCTGTGCGACCTGGACGCCATCTGGGGCATCGTGGTGGAGGCGGTGGCCGGGGCGGGCGCCCTGATCACGCTGCTCCTGACGCTCATCCTGCTGGTGCGGCTGCCGTTCATCAAGGACAAGGAGAAGAAGAGCCCCGTGGGCCTCCACTTCCTCTTCCTCCTGGGGACCCTGGGCCTCTTCGGGCTGACGTTCGCCTTCATCATCCAGGAGGACGAGACCATCTGCTCCGTCCGCCGCTTCCTCTGGGGCGTCCTCTTCGCGCTCTGCTTCTCCTGCCTGCTGAGCCAGGCGTGGCGCGTGCGCAGGCTGGTGCGGCACGGCACGGGCCCGCCGGGCTGGCAGCTGGTGGGCCTGGCGCTGTGCCTGATGCTGGTGCAGGTCATCATCGCCGTGGAGTGGCTGGTGCTGACCGTGCTTCGCGACGCGAGGCCCGCCTGCGCCTACGAGCCCATGGACTTCGTGCTGGCCCTCACCTACGACATGGTGCTGCTCGTGGCCGCCCTGGGGCTGGCCCTCTTCACGCTGTGCGGCAAGTTCAAGAGGTGGAAGCTGAACGGGGCCTTCCTCCTCATCACCGCCTTCCTCTCTCTGCTCATCTGGGTGGCCTGGACCACCATGTACCTCTTCGGCAACGCCAAGCTCCAGCGGGAAGACGCCTGGGACGACCCCACCTTGGCCATCACGCTGGCGGCCAGCGGCTGGGTCTTCGTCATCTTCCACGCCATCCCCGAGATCCACTGCACCCTGCTCCCGGCCCTGCAGGAGAACACGCCCAACTACTTCGACACGTCGCAGCCCCGCATGCGGGAGACGGCCTTCGAGGAGGACGTGCAGCTGCCGAGGACCTACATGGAGAACAAGGCCTTCTCGATGGACGAGCACAATGCAGGTAGGGGGACGGCACCCGCGGGCTCTTCCTCCTTCCCTCCGGCGGGGGCGGGTGGCCCTGGGCCCCGAGCAGTCCTAGCAGAGCAGAGTCCGCCAATGTTGGCCCCTGGGCTGAAACTGGCTCAGAAATGGATTTGTGTTGAGCATTTTTTTTTTGCTACCAGTTGCCAACTAATTCATTATAAAAATCCAGGTTTCTGGCTTCTTTTGCAAAGTCGCCCCTGGCAACAACCCTGGGCCGACATTCCACCTGGCTGCGATTACCTGCAGCCGCCTTGAGCCCTGCCTTCGCCCTTCACGGAGTTGTAGCTGCCCTTTAGGTGGGATCCACTTTGCTGTTGGCCACACTCCCCGCCCCTCCCCGCCCCCACTGCTGTTACATATTAACACTAACTCCCTGCCTCCCTGGAAGTGTTTGAATTGGCTGGGTGGCTGCAGGAGACAAGGGGCAGTACTCCGGTCCCCTCCCCTGCCTCAGTCACCAGAGTGTAGGAATCTGGGCCCTGGGGACAGACATCTAGGTTCAAATCCTGCTGCTGCCACTGCCTAGATGTGCGGCTTTGAGCAAATGACATCTCTGAGCCTCGCCTTCTTTGAACTCTGTGAAGCAGAAATAATAAGAGAAGGTGCAGCCTAGAGCTGTGGAGAGAAGTGACACGATGGTCCCCTGGCATGTCCTATGTGCGCCTCAGTTGGGTTCCACTGAAAGCAGAGTCTGGGACAGGGCTGGGCGCAGGCCCTGTGCTTGGGAGGTGGCCCTGCGAGGAAGAGGGCAGGGAGGATGGCACAGGGAAGGAGAAACGCCAAAGCAAGGCCATTAGTGAGCTGGTTGCCGCTCCCTGACAACTGGGGCTCAGTCCTGCTGGGAAGGCTCCGAGGACACGTGCAGGACGAGCCTCAGGATTGGCCCGGGAAGGACAGGGGGCCGGGGCATCTGTCCACCCACTCCCGTCTCCCACTGTCATCAACCGCCCCTATAACCCGTGAATGGGCTGAACGGGTTCCACTGGGTTCCGAGGCGTGAAAACAGAGGTTTGGTGGGCACTGGAGGTGGACATTGTCCGGGTACCCGGGACCATCTGTCACTGCTGCAGCGGGATCCAGGGGTGAGGACCTGCCTAAAGGATGTGCTACAGGCACCCAGATCCCCTGCTCCCGGTGCTCCAGAAGTGGCTCTTAGAATCATTGCTTGAAGGGAGTCAGGTTCCCAGTGCTTCAGATTAAATAAAATTGCCTTTGCTCGGTGACCTGAAGCTGCATCAGGGGCCATGACAATAATAACTGGCAGCAGAAGGAGCAGTGAGGATTATCCCGTAGAGTCACCGTTTGTTGAGCACTATGTGCTTGCTGGGTGCTATCCTGTCCTTAACCTGCGTTGTCTCATTAGTCCTCCTGCCGCCTGACAATCCCCATCTTATAGATGGGTACATGGAGGCTCCAAGAAGTTAAGTGACTTGCCCAGGGATGTACTGCTAGGAGGTGGCCCACTCCAGATTGTCGCGATCCCCTCTTGAGGGACGTCCACCAAGGACGCTCGCTGGGCTGAGTGCTGAGGCCTGGCGCGCAGCCTGCACACCAAACCACAGGATCCTCCACGCCGCCCACTGCCCGCCCTCCACCTGGATGTGCCCGGCGTCCTCGCACCTCTCCCCTTGGCCAGTGTGGGTAGGGCTGGAACTCCCCGTGTGGCCTTTGTCAGAGCCGTGCTCTTCTTACCGGAAAGTTCCAGCCTGGGTCTGTGGAGAGGTTTGGCTGGGGTCGTGGTGTCAGCCCAGGGAGATGGGGGCTGGCTCCCTGGGGTGCCAGGAGAAGATGGGGCTGAAATAGACATCAGCCCTGGGAGCCCAGAGGGCCATTCAGGGGACAAGCTGGCCAGTTCCTGGGGTCCTGGCAGAGCCACCCCTTTGCCATCTCCTCCCTGTTTATCTGAGACCCATGCCCCCCCAACCTGGAATGGATACCTAATTCTGCACATTCATGTTTTCCTGGGGAATTGGTCTATCACTTCGTCAGATTCTCAAAGTACCTGTGACCCCAAAAAGGTTAAGAAACGTTGCTGTCGAATGTGATGGTTTTATCTCCTTGCAGTAAAACCAAGATGCCAGAACCATCCAAGTATTATGGTCTTTGAAGTGAGAGATAACTAACCTTTACTGGGTGCTTCCCATGGGCCAGGGACCGTTCTGAGCATTTTAGTGGCTCATTTAATCCCTACAGTAACTCCAAGAGGTCTGTTTTGCAGACAGGAAACTGAGGCACAGAGAAGCTAAGCAACTTTGCCAAGGAGGCAGAGCCAGGGTTTGAACCCCGGGCAGGCTGGCTCCAGAGCTCACAGGCTTAGCCACTCTGCCGATGACCCTCCTCCTCTTAAATCACATTAGTGCCCCTCATCTCACTGATGTCTCGGGACACCTCTGTGCATTTGGAAAGATGAGGATTACCAGACCCATTTTACAGAGGGGGAAACTGAGGCCCAGGGATGTCGGGCAACTTGTACAAGCTCATAAGTACACATCGGAGCAGGGAGGGGGAGAATTGTTTTCTGAGTCCCATTACATACACCCTTTCTTGCGAAAATGCAGCCCGTACTTCATACCCACTCGAGGTCCAGAGATCCACAGGATTTGGGAGCCAGGGTGGTACCGACAGGATCGGTGCCTGCACGGGAGACGGTGGAGGGCACAGCCCAATCTCCGGCACAGAGGCTTCACGCTCTGACGCGTGCCAAAGCCAAATAAGTTACCTCTCCATCCCCTCTTTCTTTTCCAAAGGAAAAATACTTTTATTACTCCTTTCTGCTGGTAAAGGAGCAACGATAGTCATGTAGAATGAGAAAGGAACCACGCTGGTTCAGCCAGTAAAAATAATAAAAATTGCTCAAAATCTCACTGCCAAAGGCAACTGCTGCCAACAGTTTGCCCCCACCTTGCTAGACATCTCTGGGTGCACGCGCAGTCTCGCCCGCGCATGCGCACACACGATCATGCGACAGAACGGTTCTTAATCCGGCTGCATGTCCCATGAGCGGCGTCTACCCCGACTCCCTCTGAGTCTGAGTTTGGGAGTAGGTATTTTGGGGGGGCTTTCCAAGTGATTCGAAGATGTAGCCAGGTTGAAACGCTGGTCTAAGTGGGGCTGTTCAGCGTGCTTGCTTAAGTCAGTGTTAAACGCAGGCCCTTCCAGGTCAGAAACTGCCCGGCTACAACAGCCTTTTAATGACGCAGAGCTTCCCATTAGGCGTCATAATTTATTCTTCTGATTTTCAGCTGGTGACTATTCTGCCCACCTCTGGCTCTCCACGAAAAACAATGCTGCGGTGAACATTCCTATGCATTCCTCTTTGGGCTTTTGATCGATTAACTCCTTGCAAAATAAAAAAAATAAATTCCTAGATAGGGGTTTAAGAATCTGCACTTTAAAGCTTGATATGAAAAGCCCTCACTTAACATCGTCGATGGGTTTTTGGAAACTTCAACTTGAGGCAAAACAATGTATAAAAACGAGGCCAGTTTTTTTTCTCATCGACTTCATAACAAAACAACATTATTCATGGACCTCCTTGTCGGTTGTTTTACCTGAAGTCACAGTTTTCAAGAACCTATCGATGACACTAAGTGAAGACTTACCGTACATGTGGCGGTAGACTAATTTACTGCTTTCCCCATTGATAACTGCATGACAGCCCCAATTCCCCACCTCTTCAGCAACCTTGTGTGTTGTCAGACTGGGTTTTTTTTTTTTCTTTTTTATGGCCCTCTTTTGAACCATGCCAAATGTGTGTCCACCAGAATTCACATGCGGTCAGGCAAGCAGGCCTCAGGCAGAACCATTCCTCAGAAAGCTCCCACAGAGAGGCTGAGCTGGGGTCCTGGCTAGGATAGCCTTTGTTCTAGAAACCCTTGCTTGGTTGGCTGGAGACCGTCTGGGCACGCTCCCTTGCCACAGTGGGAACAGCTGTTGGCGTCTTTGGTGCTGACCTCAGCCAGCTTGTATTTTAGGAACCAGGCCCCGTAAGGGACCTTACCCTTGAATCCTTGGGTCTCACAGAGCAGCCAGAGCCCGGGAGCCACGTTGGCCCTGTTGCTCTTGCATTTTAACTCTCCTGCCAGCCTTTCGGGCTCTTTTCCCTTGAGAGTGCATCCTTGAGGTGCTCGGAGAGGGGAAGGGTGTTCGCCAGGCTGCACTGGGGTTTGCCAAGACCCGGCAGCCTCCCCCCACTATTTCCTCCCCGCTGGGTGAGACTCCAGATATATACAACTTCACAGCCTACTGCTTATGAATAAGTATCAACAAGGCATGAGGTATGTGATAAAAGACTAATATACACTGAGGGCTGCAGCACCTTGGATCACATCTTGGAAAGCGTTAACAAGGCACATTAAATGTTCACCTCTCAAAGGAGCAAGAAAGAAAAGTGTTGTTTTTTTTTTCTTCTGTTAGAGGCCTTGGGCTCTCTCATCTCATGAGAGCCAGGGGCTATTTAAGCTGACCTTTTGCTTCCTACTGGAAGGTTCTGAGTTGGCTTTGGGGGCAGGGCCAACCCGGCTTCACTTGGCAGTGTCTACGCAAGACAAGGCTGGCATTTAACCTATGAGCTTTCATTCCAATGGGAATCCCCTGTGGACAAGCTCTGCTTGCCTTTCAGATCTGGCCCAGGTCAGGGCAGGGTTTCAGTTAGTTGGGCTTCTTGAATAATTTGCAAATAATAAAAAATCCAATTTGAATAGGCATTAAAAAATACAGCAGGCTGCAGGGATGGTTAGATTCAGAAGACTCACGTGATGACAGGATGTGGCCTCTCTCTAACATGGCAGCCCACAGCTCCAGGCTCGCACAGGGTCCCAGTGGAACAGAGGAACATTTTCCAAGATGCTAGAGCAAAAATCCCAGGGTTGGCTCTGATTGGATCTAACTGCCCTTTCCTGAGCCAATCAGTGTGTCTGAGGAGATGTGATGCCCTGATTGGCCAGGGTCTAGAATGTGGGAGGGATATTCACCAGAGGAGAGCCACAAATAGCCATTACAGAGGGGGACCTTGAGGGGGTGCCAAAGCACCCACCCACAGATGGACTGTAGAGCCAGTTTTTGTTTTCCTTGAGGGGAATGTGTTTGGAGGCAGATGTGTTCTTTGGACTTTCCTCCCCTCAGGCAGGTCTAGGCTAGGAGTTGAGAATAGTAGGAGTCCGTGGACTGACTGTTCCCCATTGCCTGGACCATGTCCCAGGAATCCCGTTACTACTTCCCTTGCTCAGCACCATGGAGATGCCAAAGCAAGGAAGCTTTTCATAAGTACGTCTTGGAATATGCGTTCCCCACCCTGCCTCAGTTTCTTTGGTCCAGTCTGAGCTGAGCTGTCCCTAATATCGCTTAAATTCAAGTTGCTTCTAAGTAACTAAGAGTGTTGGTTAAAAATAGTATCCGGAGCCAGTATAGTGTGATGGTTAAAAACACAGATTCTCTGCCAGGGTCTGAATGCTGGTTCTGCCTCTTACCGGCTTGTGTGACCTTGGGCAAGTTACTTAACCTCTCTGTGCCCCAAGTAAAGTGGAAATAATAAAAGTACCACTCATGCTATGAAAATTCAATGAATTTTTATAGAGAGAGATACATAAAGTATTTTTCACAGTGCCTGGCTCCCGGTTGGCACTCTAGGCAGGTTAACTATTTTGCTAAGGTGATTTTGGTCACTGCCTCAAGTAATTTGTAAAAATCCCATGCTCTCTTGCTGCTTCGAAAAGCTAGAAAAGTGCCTCCCTTTGGGGAAGACTTATCAGTGAGGCTTTTCTTAGCAAAGCAAAATTAGTACTTTCAATGAGAATGAAAATGTGAAGGTGCCATCTTACAATTGGAAAGACTTTCGTTTTGATTTTTTTTTAATAGTGCTTGCTTCTAGCCAATAAAAAAAAAAAATAGTGCTTGCACTTTCTCTTATATTTTTGCTAAACTATTTTTTTAGAAGGATTTTAAGTTTCCGGAAAAATTGAGCAGGAAATACAGGGAGTTCCCATGTCCCCCCTCCCCCCACATACACAGTTTCTCTACTATTAACAACTTGCATTACTCATACATTTGTTGCTGTCGGTGAATCAACATTGATACATTGTTATTAAGTAAAGTCCATATTTTAATTAAAAGTCACTCTTTGTATCGTACAGTTCTATGGGTTTTGACACATGCATCATGACATGTGTCCACCATAGAGTATCATACAGAATAGCCTCACTGCCCTAAACATGCTCTGAGTTCTACCTATTTACCCTCCCCCAGCCCAACCCCTGGTCACCACTAGTCTTTTCCTGTCTCTGTAGCTTTGCCCTTTCCACAATACTATATTGTTGGAATCATACAGCAGCTTTTACAGACTGGCTTCTTTCACTTAGCAATATCCATTTAAGGTTCCTCCATGTCTTTCCATATCAATTTGGTTTTTCTTTACAAAAAAGGACATTTAAATACTGTAAAAAGCACAGCAAATAACAAACACCAGCCTTTCAGAGGGAAAAAATGCTGACATATTTGCCACCCTGGCTCCAGGGGTCCCTTTGATTCTGGTTTAGAAATAGCCCTACTCCTGCGGCTAGAGTCCTGCTCTCTGCCCCTGTCCCTTTCTGGTGAAGACAGCAGTACTCCTGAGAGCTTGATGTCGTGCTCTTAGGGCTCTCCTCCTCCCCTGTGTATCTAGAAAGAGCAGTTTTGAGAGGTGTGACGTTGAACATCACATGAATGGCATTCTCTAGTGAGGGGGTCTTTTGCCAGAGGAGACCTGAGGGGTACAGAGGCGCTTGTCACCCATGGCCTACCGGGGCTGCGTGGCTGGGGGGAGGGTTGCAGCCTCAACCCTGGCTGCAACCACTCCAGAGGCCCCACTGAGCCTGAGAACAAAGCCGCTTTGTGACTTTGTTTTGAATTCTTCTTGTGACAAAGGGGAGAAGGACCGAGGTGGGGAGGGCGAGGGGAGCCCAGAGCGCTGGCCCTGTGTTGATGCTAGGGAAGAAAACAAAATTGTGTCTCTCTTTTGGCAACGCTGTGTTGCCAACCCCTCCCTCCCGCAGCTCTCCGGTCGGCAGGATTTCCCAACGGCAGCTTGGGGAAGAAACCCAGCGGCAGCTTGGGGAAGAGACCCAGCGCTCCGTTTAGAAGCAACGTGTACCAGCCAACCGAGATGGCCGTTGTGCTCAACGGGGGGACTGTAAGTATTAAGATGTGACGTTTCGGCAGGGCGCCTAAGAGCGGGACAGCGGGACAGTGTCGGGGAGCAGCTTCCGCAGGGACACGCTGCTCTGCGGAGGCTGTGTCTGCGGCCTGCAAAGACAGCGGCTCGAGGCGATGTCCCTAGCAGCTAGGATGCATGCGTGCTTCCAGGTTTCTTCTTTCTCTCGCCACCCCCTTTCTCCACGCACGGAAAATCCACCCGTACTCAGTTAACCACCTGCAGATTCCTTTGAAAGAGTCCATATTTCTTGGGGCTCTTGTACCCAGTGAATTCTTTGGCTTTCATTTTACAGTGCCCCAACCCTCTCCCTGGGAGGCGACACTTAGGAAAAGCCTAAAGCGTTGAAGGCCCCTGACAGATTTTGTTGACATCCACCTAGGGTAAGGCCAGGGCCTCCCTTCTATCCTTGTGCCCCAGCTGTGCACCCCTAGGGGCCTGCCCCCACTCCCTAAGAGATGTCTTAAGAAACTGAAGCGATCACCATTTCTCCTCCCTCAGACACAAAAGCAGGTTGACTATCTGATGCCAAACAGACCTTCAGCAGAATCGCCATCGCTTATGTTTGCCTCCGCGGAATGACATCATTTTATTTCTCCAGCAGTCCAGAGACGCGCTCTCATTCCCACATTTAATTTCCAAACATAGCTACATGCTTCTTTCAGAAAGGACGCATGAGCCGGTTTACGTGTGTAAATTGGGTTTCCATTCCTTATGTCATATGCCAATTCCATAACTCAACCTGAGCTTCTTTCTACTCTACGTTAGGGATGGCCTTTGGTCTTGAGAGGGAACTTGGGTTTCCCTGGCCTTTGAGTGGTATGCCAGGCATTGGTTTGCATTCTTTTGGAACAGGCTCAAGGATAAATAGAATCCCAGATTTGCATTCTTAAAACCCCCTGCCATCCACTGGGCTCTTTTATTGTGGGTGCCAAGAAAAGCCTGCCTGACTCGCAAGCATGCAGGCCTGAGCCTTATAATAAATATGGTTAGAAAAGGCCCCTCACTCACTTTTAAGCTCTCCTGGTTCCTTCAAGGCCAATATGTGTAAAAACACCCGGGACTTAGGATGAGTTTCTGGGTAAGGAAACGTACGTATATTAGAAGGGGATGGCTACAGAAAACGAGAGGTGTGGCCTTCCCAGGAACCCCAGTAGCGTAACTCACAGCGGTTGCTGCTTTTCTCGAGAACTCTCATTCAGCCTGTCTAGGTAAGAGCAAGCTTAGCTTGACTGTGGCACGTTGTTGAATGAATCAGTTTCTAATGTTGACTTTGCAACAGCTCGGAGTTCTTAGTGTGTTATCCTTATGTTATTCCAGATCCCAACTGCTCCGCCAAGTCACACGGGAAGACACCTCTGGTGAAAGACTTTTAAGTTCCAGAGAATCAGAATCTCTCTTACCGATTTTATTCCCTGGCCGTGTCTTTCTTGCGGGAGAAAATCGGTAACAGTAGCCGAACCAGGCCGCCTCACAGCCAGGACATGTGGAAACCCTAGCCAAGGGGGTTTCGTGTAAATGTGAACACTGATGGACTGAAAAGCTAACACCGACGGCCCTCCCCTTCCCCGCCCCCCAGACACATAATACCGAACCAACCTCGACCCCGCACACTAAAGCAAAGCTAATTGCAAATAGTATTAGGCTCACTCGAAAATGTGGCTGGGAAGACTGTTTCATCCTCTGGGGGTAGAAGAGAACCAAGTTCACAGCTGGGGGGCCAGGCTGCTGTTGGCTGCACATGGGGGAGCCCCAACCCTATCGCCCCTCCCCAGCAAATGCTGGACTCCAGCTGGCCCCTTGGAGATGACCATTTTGTGGAGGAGGACAAATGGGGAGTTTTCCACCAGCTTGCCTGGTGGTTTGCACATTTCATGGGGGAGGGCAGGAGAGTTAAGGAGGTTTGGGGTGGGATTCCAAGGCAAGGCCCAAATGAATCATGGGGTGAGTTTTATAGCCAGTCATGGTGAAAAGACCCTGGCATGTGCCAAAGAAGAAGAGGCTTGCTGGGCGTTGACGTGATCATCACTTTTAGAAAGTGGTGACCAACCATTCTTCCTTCTAATGGGCCTCTTGCTCTAGCGCCTATGGTGAAGAAGTCCTAACACCTCCCCTTGTAGAGCCATAGAATATTCTGGTTTGGGGCCAGATCATCTCACCCTCTTCCTGCACTTATGGGTGCCCACTCCACATCCTTCCTTGCCCAGTTTTATTCTCATGTTCATTTCAAAAGCTCAGCTGGGACCACCAGCTTAAAGCCCTTCCAGGGGGCAGGTGGGAAGGCAGGTGCCATAGCAGGTTTTCCTCCATAATGTCACATGGCAGGGCTTCCAGGGTGCCCTCTAGGGTAGAGAGATGACATCCTGCTTCCTAGCAAGCAGTGACTTCTTGGGTCTTTTCCATTAATATGGTGAGAGTTCCAGAGTGGAACGGATCACATGAGGGTTTTTTGCTGCTTTTGATGGGTGTGTGGGACATTTCTGTCTTGGTTTTCCACGGGTTCCATGAAAATGGCTCTTTTCAAAGCCCATTCTTTCTGTCATGGTTTCCATCTGTCCTAAGCCAGTCATTCCTTTATTATTTAGCATTTCGAACATCTCGGCCATGAAAAGCCCCATGTTCTCTGCACTGTTTGGCCAGTATAATCGCTAGCAACGATTCAAAGCAAAGAGTTTTAACCTGACGGCATGGAATGTATAAATGAGGGTGGGTCCTTTTGCATACACTCTAATCACTACATTGCTTTTTCTATAAAACTACCCATAAGCCTTTAACCTTTAAAGAAAATGAAAAAAGGTTAGTGTTTGGGTGGGGGTGGGGGGGACTGACCTCTTCATAAGCCAGTACATCTGAGCTGAGTTATGTTTTAATAAACCTTTTGATATTTCTCAAGGCCCTGGTCTCTGCTGTACCCCTCCCCCTATCCTTGCAAAGCACAGGGAAAAATAAGGCCAATCCGGTCATCCCTGTGCAACCCTCCTGCGAGTTCTCCTTAACAGCTAGTGCATTTCCTGTGTTACCGTGCATGGGGAAGACAAAGCATGGCCCCAGAATGCTACCCCGCCTCTGCCCAGAGCATGCGCTTGCTTCTAGAGAATCCGATTCCAGTCCTCTGCTCGAGGACCATCATTGGGTGGACTGAGACATGGAGTACTGGGGAGGGCTGGGAGGGAAGGAGCCTAGGACCAGGGGTTTGGGCAGGGGCAGTTGCATGCAGACCCTAGCATTTCGGAAAAAAAGAAATCTCCGAACACCTGGGTCCAGTGCAGTGAAAAACGACAGTGTTACACGTTCTCATGCCAGGAGATGGTGGCTCACCCCCGCTCTCTGGAGTCCTTTGGAGCTTTCTGATACCATTCACAGGATGGAGCAGTTCACATGATCGTTTTCTAAGTTCTTTGTTGCCCAAGCATATAAGGTGAGCACGGCATAGATGGCTGCCCTTGGAAGCTTGTGTTTCCCCACCATAAAAACAGAACTATCTTTGAGCCATGGGGAACCTCACTTAATGACATCTTTTTTTCCCTCTTTTAAATCTGATGTATTCTTGCGCTTCTGGGTTTTGTTTTATTTTGACTGTAAGGGTGAGAGTGGGCTGAACGCCCTTACGATGGGGGCAGAGGCTGGGGGCGGAGGCGGAGCGAGGGGAGAAGGGAGAGGGCGGTTCTTTGACTCCACCTGGAAAGTACCAAGAGGCATCTCTGCCCAGAGACTGTAGCAGCCGGCTGCCCCCACGGAGCAAGGTTTAAAGACAAAACTAAGTGGCACCTCTGTTTAAGATCTGTTTGTGTACAGAAGACTTGTTTGGGGAAAACGACCTGGAAGGAAAGCATCTGTGATCCAAATCCCTCATTGTAAGCACAAGTCATTCCTTGTCCGGTTATTAAAATCGCTTTGGGACTATAACAGCCACTCTTGTCACCCCCTTTTAATAGGAAGTTGGCGTTCCCTCCCGGATTTCTGCACTGGAGGTGGAGGGTGGGGAGAGAGGGAATCAGCTCTGATGATTTACAAACCGGGAAGTTTTCTGTGCATCTCACGGGTTTCCAGGGTTGAAGATCGGGTTGTTGGAATCTGGGTGCCCAGTGATCTTTTTTTAGCACAGATGCCATCGGGGTCCATTGACCAGGCGTGAACTGGGGGTGGCCTCCTTGGTTGGCCAAGGCTGAGTTAAATGCCTCGGGACGAACCCCAAATGGAAAGGGAGCATTGTGGCTTTTATAATCCAATGATGCAGTGATTCTACCAGCTTACAGGAGTTCTCGGCAGGTGCTTTTTATTAATTAATGAAGAGCTAAGGCTCATTTTTGATAGATAATATATATTTATTAAATGCATTACTGTGTGTTTTATAATGTATCTTTATCTTCCCCTGGCTGACTGTTGCATACTTATAAAAAAAAAAATCGTTAAAAGAAATTCCAAGACAATCAATGTGTACCATAAATGACTATATAAATATCACAAATTTAAAAGGTTGTAAAGCATGGGCAGATAGGTTTTATTTTCAAGATGCTGTTCTTAACACAAAAATAAAGGCTTTACTATTTACTTAAGACGTGTGGTAGCTTGTCAAAACAACCCAGTATAACTGTTAGCCTTTCAGATCTGCCCTGAGGCTGAGGCTGAGGCTGTGGCATTTTGAATGGGAGAATCCGGGTTAATGGCAAACCATGGGACAAATGAGGGTAATAAGTTAATTTACCCATAAAAGTGGGAACTTTCTATAATACTCTAGGCCTAGACAACAAACACCCTTTGTTACTGCTGCCTGGGGTTAAATGCCTCATCTTATTGAGTTTGCAATGAAAGTCAAAGGTCTGGTCTCCTTTGGAAATGATCGCAAGCAAAGGTGTCTTTTTTTTTTTATAAAAAAGGGTGGTCACCAGGTAAGCTTAAAACCCAAGGCAGAAGTTTGGGACTTAAATCAGAATATGGATCTCTGCAAAGGCAGCCAAAAGTGGGACAACCGGTAACAAGGGCACTCCTACATCTTCTGGGGCTAGAGTCCACTGCACGTTTTAACAGCAGTGGACGTAGACGGACACTCCTGAAGCACTGAAGAAACATCTGGATGAAAGGACAAAATTTTGGGATAATGCAGAAAGTCAGGACTGGTATTTTCTTTTACAAACTATTTGCACTAAAGCATGCTTGCAACAAATCCTATCTTGTGTGGAAAAAGTTCCGTGTCCACACGTACCAAGTCTTGTTGTTACAGAAATCACAGTAGAGGAAGAGTAATTTGGGCATTTTCCTTGGACAGGAAAAGATACCAGCAGTGGTCAAGGTGACGGAATCTTGGCTGCAGGCACCTCATCCTCCATTTTGCATTTCACTACGAAGAAATGAGAGAGAAAGTCAGGATCCATTTACATACATAGACAGGCTTGTCACTTGGAAACTGGAAACTCCACTGTGTGGACAAGGCCCGTTGCACCCAAACCCATCGAGTGCCTGCTCCGGGTCTGGCCCCGCAGATCCGCCGGGAAGAACACAGGGCCATTGTGCTCTAAGGGCAGCACCTGAAGGTTCAGAAACCACTTCCTGGACTGTTCGCGGCCATTCTTAATTCGGTTCAGAAAAAGGTCAGAAGTGTGCTTTGCAGGTCGGGGGACTGAAGGAAGGAAGTTTCACTAACGGCGATGACAGATTCTAGGCTTTCCACTCAACCCAGGCTGTCAACACAAACCCTGTTTCCCTCCACCCACCCCAAATGAAAAACTCAGGGTATCGCTGGGGTCAATGACAACGTCAGAAAAGAAAATCTTTTCTCCAGTGTCACAGTCTGGACGAGAATGTGACACCACTGATTTCCTGAGTCTGCCAAACAGGAAAGTTAGCCGGACACACTGCATGGCAGTGTTTGTGAGGGAAATTAATCTCTGCATATAAAAGCCCCTCCCCAGGTAAACATGGAAACCCAGTCACCTGGGTGGGGGGGGGGATCCTTTTGGAAAGACCTCTTTTTTTTAAAAAAATAATCTTTGCCTCTAGTATCCAAGCGCTTGCCCCGTAGGTTAATGCCTGAACAGTTATTTGAGCGAGGCCGCAGGCTCTGATTATTTGAGCAGAGCACTGTTCTGGTAGAAAGGGTGTTTGGGGTTGTTACTGGGTAGGGTTGAGGTTTCAGCTGAGCCGGCCCCAATTCCTGATCTCCTAGCAACTAAGGACGTGCGCGGCTGGACGCCAGCACAGAGGTGAGGTGTGTGCGCTGACAGTCCCACGCTGTGCGGTTATTTCCTGATGGCATGGGAGGAATGCCTGCAGCAGCACAAACCAGCCTAGCAGTCTGCAAACCGAGGGTCCACAAAGACTTCCCAAGGGTGCTTGGGCTTGGTCCATTCAAAGGAAATCCCATTTCTAGCTCTGCAGCTTCCGTGCATGGACTTGCAGGTGTGGGGCTGGTGTCGGTCCTCCTCTCATACCTGTGTCCGTCTCAGCCCAGCATGTAAAAAAAAACCCAGGTGCCAAACAAGAAAGCAGTTCGCAATTTGAGGGTCCCCAGACTCTGCTTTATTTTCAATGTTTAATAACTATCAAATTGTGTAATGCATTTATTTGCTTTTGTATACTACTAATGGTTATATTAATAACTCAAACTAGAAAAATATTTTTAATACTTGGGGCCTGTGTTCAAGGACTTTTTTTTTTTTGCTGTATATACCTTTTTTGTTCCATGTATATGGAAGTGCTGTGGGCAACCACAATGAGGACCCTGCATGCATCTAGATGCTATCGACAATGACATTGATCCTTGATAGCCAAGGATCCATCACACCATGCTAAGTGCTCTCCTGCTATCCCACTGAACCATGACATGCTGGTGACTGTTTAATAACTGATTGCGGGTTGAAAAACTGTCCTCATTTGTGGCATTTGCCATTTCCATAGCCCATCGCAAGCTACCAGCCCGACTACATGATGCAGAGCTGGGAAGAGGTGCACGCAGCCGGACCAAGCTGGCTGCTTGGGTCCGCAGGGGGAGGTACCCAGCTAAACTTGTGTAGCATTAGGCATAACGTGAGAGCCGCAAGATGGCTCTCCAAGTGTGGTTGGGGGACATTTGCAACACCAGGAAACTGTGAGAAATGCGTGGCCCCATTCCAGACGTACAGAAGCTGAAATGGGGCGAAGCCCAGCTGTCTGCATTTTAACAAGGCCTTCAGGTGATTCTGATGGATGCTGAAGTGTGAGACCCACTGACTGCTGGTTTTCTAGCCTGACTGTAAATAAGAATCACATGATCAGCTTCTGAAACTTGCTGGTGCCTGGGTCTCCCCTCAGAAACTCTGATGTCATTGGCGTGGGGCCCAGGCAGCGGAATTTAGGCAAAGCCCCTGTGTGTTGCTAAAGACCTGCCAGGGTGGAGGAACAGACTGGGGTTGGAATCCCTTTAAAGAAACACGGCTGTAAGACCCTGAGCGGAGTCTAGAGTTGCCCTCACTTCTCAGCGTCATGCTGGCTGCCTGTGAGCCTCGGAACCTAAGCTGCTTGGGAGAGCTCCCCGTATACAGCTGGCAGGCAGACGCTCGAGGCTGTTAGTAGCTGGAGTGAAAGATGGGAGGAATTCCCAGCCCTTGGGGTTTTCCTAGTTTTCCTCAACTCTGCCAGAAGGAAGAATTCACCTGCTTGCCTTTGTCCCAGTATTTTAACCAATTCCGGTCCATGCCTGGATAACCTGTTACCCACCTCTTATACTTCGACCTTGCCAGGGAAAAGGTCCCTCTCTTTCAGACCATCACACAAATCTTGAGGGAGGAGACCAGAGAGGAACGAACTAGGGACCTTCAAAGTCGAGTCGTGGACAACAGACAGTATCTAGAGTTGACAGTCTAGAAACAAAGGTGGGATGTGGAGCTGCACAGTGGGGTGACCTGGGGGCTTCCCGCAGTCCCGGTGGCCAGGCCCCACACCCTACACAGTCAAGGCTGCCATCTGGAGGTGCCGCCACATCGGAAAACTGGCATTAGCAAGTGGACCTGAGTCTCACAACGAACACAGGCGATTCCAATCCTGTGCCCCCCCACTGCTGAAACCCTCGTGCACATCTACCGGGAGACGTGGATTAGGGTGCTCAGGATAGCAGCAAACGGGAAACAACCCAAACGTCCATCAACACTTGACTGGGTGAACAGATCATGGTCTGCTCAGCCAGTGATTATACAACAGCGAGCGTGAGTGAGCCACGGCTACACACGTCAGCTTGGATTAGCTTAACAGCGTTGAAAGGAAGATGCAAGGCACAGAATCATACACATAGTGTGATTCTATTTATAGCAAATCTAAATGTTGAGAGATTCATACAGAGGTGAAGAGAACAACTGTCACAAATGTCAGGGTAAGTCACTTCATGGTTGGAGAGGAGCTTTAAAAGTGACAGTGTTCTGTTTCTTGGGTGGTGGCTGCACGGGCCTTTGCTTTATAGTTATATGTGTTTTATAGTCACTTGTATGTATATTTCATCCTCAAAAGGGTAAAAAGAAAGATGCTAGTATGTTGCTTGAAATTACGCTGTCAACCAATAAAGGAAGAGAAAAGAGCAGTTGAGCTGTTTGGGGGATGGTAGGGATGGGATATAAGTAGGCAAACTCTCATCTGTTATGGCAGGAAATCAGTAAATCATAACTAGAATCTTATCTGCCGTGCACACAAGCCTGTTAGAGACACAGAAGTAACCACCAGAGAAACAGCTAAGAGTTCTTCCGTTTTCTCCTGTGTATCTTGCAATCCATGAGAACCACGTGCAAGGACTACTTTGCTAAAAATTAAGAAACAGATCAAATCTCTGCTTGGTGGTCCTCTTCCTTCCTGTCTGGGCAGAACCTAGCTTTGCACAGGTAGGTATTCCTGAGAGGGGGAAGGGAGGGAGAAGGGGAAGGGAGGGAGAGGGGGAAGGGAGGGAAGGAAGCAGGAGTGAGAGAGGCAGAGCAGGGATGCTGAAAGAACACAGTTTCCACCTGAGTTTAGAGACATCCTTGTGGTTGGCTTCCAACACCAACAGACAGATGCCTCAGTGCCCCTGTGCTGTCCTTGTCCCCCTTGGCAGACTGGTGCCCAGCCAGTTCCGGAAGGGCTGAGAGAGTGGAAAATCCCGGAGAGAGATGCGCCAGCCCTTCAGCTTCAATTAAAGGCAATGTGAGGAGAAGGGCCTTGCATGCTAATGAGACTCGGTACATCATCTCCTCTTGGTTGCCCCCATCCTCTCCTGTCCTGGTCAGTGACAGGGCTGAGAACTCTATTCACAGCCCAGAGAAAAGCCTCCTGGCCAGCAGTGCAGGATGGATAGAGGAGAAGCCTAAAGCTCAAGGCGAGGAAATCTGGGGACCCCCAAGGTCATCCAGCCGCCAGTGCAGTGTTGTGCAGACCGGGCCTCTGCATGGGGTGAAAATACAGATTCCTGGGCCCTACCCCAGAGCTTTAGAATCCGAATCACCAGGAGTGGGGCCTGGGAATCAGCATCCCCCTCCACTTCAGCGCTGTGGGTGATTCTTCTGATCTGATAAGCATGGGAAAGAGTAACACAGCACATCCCTCGGTGCCTGCTTCCTCGGGG